CAGAGAGCACAGAGCACATAACAAGAGCAGAGCACAGAGTATAGAGCAGAGCACAGAGTATAGAGCAGAGCGCAGAGCAGAGCACAGAGCACAGAGCAGAGAGCAGAGAGCACATAAGAGCAGAGCACAGAGCAGAGCAATCAATGAATGGCTTTGGCCAGAGCACAGCAAGGGCTTTGCCGGAGCAGAACTGTAACGCTTTGCTGGGGAAAATCCCTCCCCTCTGGAACCAAGCTTTAACACTTTTGTTGGGAAAGCCTCCCCTTCAGAGCTGTGTAATCACACAACTCCTCTAGACCCATGTGGCTTTTGGGACCCCATTCCTGACCCTTTCCTGTGGATGAGACTCTCCTCCTAGAGCTCGGTTTTTGTTCTCTAAAGTTCAGGCATGGAGTCGCTCCGCTGGCTTAGCCAGGATAGGTCCCTGAGACCCTTGCTGAGTGTGATGACCCACTGAACAGCTTGGTCCTCCTTCAGTCCTGAGGATGCTCACTACTACAGGCTGCAGTGAGATTTCCTTCTCTCTCATCCATGGGTACATGTCTTCCATACCCTCTCATTCCCCCTTGGGATGCCTCTTAGAAAACCTCCAGCTTCGCCGGGTGGTGGTGGTGGCGGCACGCCTTTAATCCCAGCACTTGGGAGGCAGAGGCAGGCGGATCTCTGTGAGTTCGAGGCCAGCCTGGTCTCCAAAGTGAGTTCCAGGAAAGGCGCAAAACTACACAGAGAAACCCTGTCTCGAAAAACCAAAAGAAAAGAAAAAAGGGAAGAAAAAAAAAAGAAAAGAAAACCTCCAGCCTATACACCTGGCACCCTACCTGAAGGGCCCTAAATTTATTCACTTTTGTAATCAAATTTGGCTTCAAAGCACTTAGATAATCAATCCAAAAAACGTCACCTAATGGCACCTTAGATCCTAATATTATTTGGGACCTTTACCAATACTGTGAGTGATTGGGGAAATGGAAAGAGATTCCCCATTCCCTTTTCTTCTTTTCTCTGCTTCAAGCCGTTTTTGTGTAGCGCCCCTCAACCCCCATGTAAACATCCTGTCTTTTAAGTTATCATTGATGGATCTGTACGTGGGCTGCAAAGTGGGCACCAGGAGCCAGACCTAGCAGGAGCCTGAGAAAGCAAAGGAGCAGGCCAGTTGCACACGCCCCGCACACACCCTGGCTGGTGCATCTCTCAGCTCCCTCCTACTGTGTCCTCTTTCTATAGCCAGAGCTTAAACTCCTCCTAGCTGTGAGGCCCAAACCAGATGATTCTTCCACTGTTTTTGATCACACTAACAAGTTTCCCCCTTATCAGCCTCAACCAGCTGCCCCTTCTCTTCCTCTCCAGCCTCTCTGGTTTCCCTTTTTCCCTTCTCAGAGACAGGCTGCTCATCCAGTCAGGGCCCAGGTAGTCACCAACCAGGACCCTGAATGGAATTACAATATCTCAGAGAGCATCCTTGCTAGGGACAAATTTGTAACTTGCCTCCTGGCTGGTCTTCATAAGGCCACCCTTAAAACGCTGTATGAATTATGAAAAAACCCAGGAGGTCATCCAGGACAAACATGAAAACCTGACTCAATTCCTAGACCACCTCACAAAGGCCCTCTTACAATATACCAATCTGTATCCCCAGACCCCTAATGAAAAACAACTCCCTATGACCTACTTCTTTTCCCAGAGTTCCCTGATATTAGGCCTCTTAAACATCTAGAGAAAGGACCTCTGACTCCACAGGCAGAAGTCTTAGCAGAGGCCTTTAAGGTGTACCACGGGAAAGATGAAAAAGCCCGAAAACAAAAATACCTGATGCTACCAAAGTCCTTTCAACTGGCTATTGCAACTGCTCAGGCTCCGTGGCCTCCCAAAGCCTGAGAACCTGCAGGTCCCTGTTTCAAATGCAGTGAGAAGGATTACTGGTCCCAGGCCTGTCTGAACCCTTGTAAACCACCCAGACCTATGCTCCTCGTGGCAGAAGGACATTAAGCCCAGATTGTCATCCAGCCAACCTCCTAGATCTGGCCATGGACGACTAAGGAGACTAGCTAGGCTCCCTTGGTCTGACCACTGCCATCTCTGACTGGGAACCTTGAGTAGACATCACAATATCAGGTCGATCTATCCATTCCCTTCTGGAAATTGGAGGCCACCAACTTAGTTCTGACACAGTTTTAGGGACCCACATCTTGTTCCCCTATTGTCAGGGTAGGGCGACAGCTTTACCATCCTCACAAAACCCCACCAACTGCCAGGCTCTACCCACAGGACACTAACTGCCCTAACTGCTGGACCCAACCCCCACCCTACAGAGTAAAAAGCACAATCTCTGGACGTGAACTCCCACCAATTTCTGCCCTGGAAAGCTTCACCCCCTCCCCAAGAATCTCTATACAAGCCCTGTATCATGGACAGTCCTCTGCTGTTCTCTCAGCAGAAGCAGCCACCCTCGGTTTATTGCCCTCTCAATAAATGTCCTGTGGGGTTTGTTGTGCGGCACGACTTTGTGGTATTCCTTGGCTCCTGACTCCCAGGATACCTTTCCATCTGAGCTGTAATGTACAGATGTGCTAGAAATGCTCCTTTCCATGGATGTTCAGGCACTTATTCAAACACTGAGGAAGGGAGCTTGGGAAGATCAAGAGATGAGTATGAGGATGCACCATACTAACCCAACACCTACTGTGTGCCAGGATGGGAATACTATGTATAGGATTTAGACACTGGTATTGATTGGACACTAGTTTATCAAACTATAATTTTGGGGGTGCACTCTCACTTTTAAAAGGAGGGAATTGTGGGCTAGTGAGATGACACAGTGGTTTGTAAAAGTGCTTGCTGCCAAGACTACCTGTTTAACCTCTGGAACCCCCAGGGTAGAAGAAGAGAACCAACAACTATAGCTGTCCTCTAACTCTACACACTAGTCAAGTTACACACACACACACACACACCAAAATAAAGATTGCCAGGCATAGTGGCACACACCTATAATTCTAGCACTTGGGAGACTAGTACAGGATTACTAATTCAAGACCAGCCTGGACTACACAGCAAGACTGTCTCAAAACTCTCCCCCGCCCCCCCAAAAAAGAAAGAAAGAAACGAACAAATGGGGCTTGGGGTGGTATATCATACAAGTTAACCAGGGTTTAAGAAACCTTGCATCTACCTAAATCAGCAAGATCCTTGCTACTTCCCAGTCTTCCCTCAACTAAACAAACATACTGCATTTACAACTGGGGACACTATCTCACCTCATATGTTCCCGACAAGCAACTAAAGGAACTGTACAGCTAAGAGAAGGATAAGAAGCCTAAACAGGAGAACTTTCAATGCATCAAAAAAGTAAGAAAAAAGAATGTATTCTATAACTACATAAAGTCTTTAAATTACAGGCCTCAGTCTGGATCCCAAAACTCAGATGAAGAAAAAGCCTGGAAGGCCTATATCAGAACTACTTCAAAGTACTGGGCAGAACCTACTTGAAGCTACAGAGTTAGAAGGGTGTGAACTCAGACTCCAAAGTCAAACCTCAAGTCCAACAATGCTCCAATAATACTAACTAGAGGCACTATTAATTTTTAATGTCTCTAGAAATAATATAAACTTTCCACCAATGAATGATACAGTTTCTGTGTGCATGCACATCTGTGCAGATATACTTGCCCATGTGTGTACATAGAGAAGTAGGTCAACATTCAGTGGATATTCTTCTTTGTTTAATTATTTATTGGGAGGGGAAACACACGTCGAGGTTAGAGGATAACTTTCAAGAGCTGGTTCTCTCAGCACACCTTTAATCCCAGCACTTGGGAGGCAGAGAGAGAGATGTAGGATCTCTGTGAGCTTGAGGACAGTCAGGTCTACATAGTGAGCTATAGGACAGCCAGGGCTACATAGAGAGACTCTGTCTCAAAATAAAGGGGCAGAGGGTTGGTTCTCTCCTTCTAGCATGTTATAGGTCCTGGGTGTCAATCTCAAATCTTCAAGCTGGATGGCAGGTATCCCT